ATTGCCATGCATTGATGACCTATCTGATCAACTACAGGGTGGCAGAGTGTTCTCCAAGATTGACTTGCGTTCAGGCTATCATCGGTTGAAAATTTGGGAGTTGGATATCCCGAAGACAACATTCAGGACTCGGTATGGTCATTGCAAGTTCCTTGTGATGTCTTTTGGGATGACCAACACCCCTGCAACATCCATGCACCTGATGAATAGTGTATTTCAGCCCTATCTTGACTCATTCGCCATTGTGTTTATTGATGGCATTCTGGTGTACTCCCGGAGCCGGGAGGATCATGTGCAGCACTTGAGGACCGTGCTCCAGACCTTGAGAGAAAAGAAGTTATAAGGAAAATTTTCAAAGTGTGAATTCTCGCTTGATTCAGTAGAAATTTTGGGCCATGTAGTGTCGAGTGAGGGGATCAAGGTAGATCCGAAGAAGATTGAAGCAATGCAGAGTTGGCCCAGGCCGTCTTCAGCTATGGATATCTAGATTTTTCTTGGTTCGACGGGGTATCACCACCGATTTGTAGAAGGTTTCTCATCTATTGCAGCACCTATGATCAGATGGACCAAGGAGTGTGAGGAGAGAATTCAAAAGCTCAAGACTGCTTTGACTACATTCCCAGTGTTGGTGTTGCCTACAGGTTCAGGGTCTTATATTGTGTATTGTGATGCATCGCGTATTGGTCTCGGCGCAGTGTTGATGCAGGACGGTAGGTTGATTGCCTACGCGTCTAGACAGTTAAAAGTGCATGAGAAGAATTATCTTGTTCATGACTTGAAGATTTGGCGGCACTATTTGTATGGTGTCCCTTGTGAGGTTTATACCGACCACCGGAGTCTACAACATCTGTTCAATCAGGTCTTGGCCAATCAGTTTGTTAGATTGGATGTTTTTAAGCCGAGTCGAGTTTTGACTTGTGTAGTTGCTCGGTCTTCTCTATATGACAGTATCAGAGAGTGTCAGTATGACGACCCCCATCTACTTGTCCTCAAGGACACAGTTTAGCACGGCGATGCCAAAAAAGTTACTATTGGGGATGACGGTGTATTACAGATGCAGGGAAGGCTATGTGTGCCTAATATATATGGTTTGTGTGAGTTGATTCTCCAGGAGGCTCACAATTCGCGGTACTCCATTCATTCGGGTGCCGCGAAGATGTATCAGAACTTGAGGCAGCATTATTGGTGGAGGAGAATAAAGAAGGACATAGTGGAGTATGTAGCTCAGTGCCTATATTGTCAGGAGGTAAAGTATGAGTATCTGCTGGCAGGTGGATTGCTTCAGAAGCTAGAGATTCCAGAGCGGAAATAGGAGAGGGTTACTATGGATTTTGTTGTTGTGCTCCCACGGACTCAGAGGAAGTTCGATGCAGTTTGGGTGGTAGTGGATAGGCTGACTAAGTTGGCTCATTTCATTCCTGCGGTGACTACTTATTCCTCAGAGCAGTTGGCTAAGGTTGATATTCAAGAGATTGTTAGGCTTCATTGCATGCCGGTATCCATCATTTATGACCAGGGTATGCAGTTTATATCGCGGTTCTGGAGGGCCGTACAACATGATTTAAGCATGCGGGTTGAGTTGAGTATGACATTTTACCCTCCGACAGACGGGCAGTCCGAGTGCACTATTCAGATATTGGAGGATATGCTCCGTGCATGTGTGATGGAGTTTGGGGGGTTCTTGAGATCAGTTCTTGCCGTTTGCAGAGTTTGCCAACAACAACAACTACCGATTTTGCAGAGTGTGTGCACGAGCCAAATGTGGAAATTACCGTTTTTTAGCTGTGTAAATTTCTTTCATGCCTTACTTGAATTACCTTAACATGTTATAGTCATCATTTTTAGACTAATTTCATATGTCTACTTGTCTTATATCTTACTTGCTAATTGCTCTACATGTTTCGTTAAAATTCTTGTTTCCTTATTCCATATTCATTAATTAACTGTTGAATTCTTTACTTGAAATTGCCATTCTTCTAGTTGTTATTGTTGAGATGTTGTGTACATTGTGGTTGATCCGTGGGATCTTTATTGTTAAATTCTGTTATTGTTTGATTTCTCTGGCAAGTTGTGATATTGGACACTTGAGGTGCGACTGTGATACGTTGTGATATTGATACGCATGCGATGGTATAAGGTCTGGGTGTTGAAACGCATGCGGTGATATAAAGTGCGCTTGATACGCATGGATAATAGGTGAACTACTAGAAGTCATGCGGTGTAAAAAGGTGGGCTAAACGCGGGATGCTATTTTGAAAAAAATAATTTTTAAAACTAAATGTATAGGCTCCTGCGGTGATATAAGAAAAGATTGTGAGTTATTCTTATGATTTGGGACTACGAGGCAGCACTTCGGTAGTGGCCCTTGTTGATCCTTTCACTATTTGCTGTATTTGGCCTTGGGTTGTTTGTTTCCCCTGCATATTAATTGTTGTCTTTCTTTGTGTTGCACTATTTTCTTTAGTTCTGTGTAGCTAGCCTTGATATACTATTCGTCGTTTCAATTTTATTAATGTCATTATTACACTGCCTACATTTGCTCAGTCGTTTATTTATTTTTAGTATGTCCTGACCTGACCTCGTCACTACTCTATAGAGGTTAGACTTGGTACTTACTGGGTATCGTTGTGATGCACTCATGCTACTCTTCTGCACATTTTTTTATGCAGATCCAGGTAATACTTACCAGTCCAGGCATTAGCTGGGATTCTACTACGGAGACTTCAAGGTATACTTGCCGGCGTCCGCAGGCCTCGGAGTCCCCTTCTATCCCTTTTTATATTTTCCTTCTTTACTAGGCACAATTATATAGGAATGGTTTTGGTATTGTGAGAGAGCTTGTGACTTGTATTACGCCGAGTTTTGGGCTAATATATACACATTTAGCTGTAGAGAATTTCCTTTTATCTATGTTGTTGAGTTTTAATTTTTTTAAAATTACTGTTTCATTCACTTCCGCATGTTTGTTAGGCTTACCTAGTCTTAGAGAATATGTGTCGTTACGACATTGTACGAAGGGTAATTGGGGTCATGACACTTTTCGTCCACTTCTTAATAAAAATATTCCTTTCCATCACCATTTTAGGGTACCACGAAGTTCGCCATAAAACGTTTTCCTAACTTTTTCATCTTATCATAGACGACCGGTGTTTGTACTATTTTAGACATTTAAAAATTTCTCTTAAAAGGTGAAGTTCTTGTTATAATTGTTCATTGGCATTACAGGTTACCGTTCTCGTCAAAATACTTCTACTTTGTCTTTTTGATACTCTCTTCCGCTCAAAAAGATTAACACTTTTTTTCTATTAGTCTGCTTCAGAAAAATTGACATATTTTAATATTTTTTTAATAAGAGACATTTAAAATTACACAAATGCTATGCAGATTTCAGACTCAACGTATCTCAAAAATTATTTTTATTTACTAAAGTTTGTGCTAAACCAATATAAGACAATATTGTTAAAATGGAGAGATTAATAATTTACTTGTTGATAAAATTCATGAAGGCACTCATTTCTTTCCTTTTCTACTGTCATCCATGTCATGTGTGGACCACGATTCACATAGGTACCTCAACTAAGAGATACAGTCTCATGACATAGTATCTTAATACAATGTTGTCAAATTTGATTGGAGGGACGGATATATGATTTAAATTTTGTGGGTTTAATTTTTAATGTTTTTAATTTTGAATTCATTGTTGTTTTAAAGCTATGAGTTCATACCTACCATTTGTTAAAACTTTAATAATTTTTTACACATAAATTTATACTCCGCAGTAAAAATATTCGGTTCAAATAAAACCGACGGGCATACTCTACACTCGCCCTTGCTTGATACCTACTATGTTTCAATTTATTTATGTGGCACTTTTTCGTTTCTTAACATTCAAACGGTATACACGTTGACTAATATTTTAGAATGTATTTTTTTCTATATATTGAAATGGAAGAATTGCAACTTACATTATTTTTTGTTTATTTAAATTTAAATTTTAAAATATTAAGTTGATCTAATCCAATTTAACTTCAAAGACTAGTCAAATTACTCTCTAAAACAAAAAATGTCACATAAATTGGTTTTTTAGTTAAAAATAAGGTGAATAGGAAATTGAGGAAAAAATAAAATTTTGAATTTCCTCCTTTACAAAGGAATATTGTCTCATATTGGAGGAGAAAAGTTCATTTGTTGGCTATATAAATTGCACTTCTTCTAGTTCTTAAAGAATTGAGAAGAAGTCAAGTCTCGCGTCGTGGTAATCGCTCGCTTAGCTTCGGATTTATGATTAATTAATTTTTTTGATCAAACCTATTTGTTAAATATTAAAATTATATTAATATTTTAAAATCTAAATTAACCGATTTTGTAACGGTAAATCAACTTTCCCCTCAAATTTTATTTTCATGTTTTATTTCTTTATAGTTATTTTTCGCGAAAGGCCATCTCAGAGAGTTGCACCTCTTCGTTTGAACCCAACCCGTTGGCTTCCCTCACATTTTCCTTACGAAAATTTTGGAACCTCTTCTTGTTTTTGCATTGTTTTCTTACAAAAACAAAGTAAGGGTGATTTGTTACCGATCTTTGAGTTCGTTGGTCACTAAGGTTTGAAGTACCGCTACACCAGTGAGGTAATTCGTTCAATCATGAGAGAAAATAATCCTAAACCTCAAGTAATAGGAGATAATTAAATTTCTTAGAAAAACATTGTGATTTTAATGAGTTCGGATTAATTTTTACTTTTCTGCATTCCTGTTTTACGTTGTTTAATTTTCCAAAATATATTATTTTATGAATACAGATTAATAAGAGAGACTACCATATTAAGGTTCATTTCCGCCGGAAGCCCAATAAGTAGTTACTTTGTCTAGTGAACTCCATCTTAAAACCTTGTTAAAATTTTAGAAGTTCAGAAGAAACTTAAACCGAAAACTCTTCGGGGGTCAGAATTTTTGCATGCACGTTTCTAAAATGCAGTGCACTATAGCATCAGATCAAGTATATAACAGATCAAAAATAGCATTAATCTTATATTATTGCCATGTAGTCAAACACATAGGCTTTTTATTTAGTACAAGAGCAATACATTGCTGGGAGTTTAACATGTCAATCTATGCCTTTTTGAACTGAACAGAAAATGGCAGTTCATTGCCCGAGGCAGCCAAACGTCTAATGTCAGCATTGTCACCCTGCTGCTCATAAGAGATGACCAAGTCAGAGCACTTAATCTTGCAAGGAACACACAGGGTAGGGCAGTACACAAACCTGCAAATTTAGGAATTTCTATCGTTAGTTAATCAGAGTTTAATCCGTATATATATATTGCACAAAAAGAATCAAAATTTTGACATATATTCTCTCTATATCATTTTATTGCGGCATACTTAATTGTTTAATATGTCTCGAGAAGAATGACATCTTTCTATATTTAGAAATTATTTTATTCTAAACTTTTTGGTTTTATCATTAATAAAATGTTTATAGCAACCAGATGTCTATATTTTGTTTCTTTCTTAAATTTATGCTCAGTCAAATAACATTACATAATAGGACGCGTGGAATATATACGTATAGATTGAGTAGAAAGCAATGCGTTCAGTTGAACCATTAAACCCGCTCCAAATTCACTTATACATACCTGTAGCCTTTTCCATACGGTTGAATCCTGAACCAGTTCCGTATGTTGTTCAAAATCCCTACTTTCCCTCGACCTACCACGTACTTATACTTCTTGTCCATCTTCCACACAGTAAAATTGGCACAACGTGATGTGGCACTAGGGGAATAGAACTTAACATTTATGGGGTTGTTTTTGAGAATAAGTTCGCCAGTTTTACTAGGGTATGCAGGAAAGAATTCCACAGGACGGCCAAGATGAAGTTCATTAGGGTCTTGGACGATGTCCTGTGGGCAATTTTTAACATTTTTGTCAACAACTCTAGACAAAATAAGGCCACCTCCCGTGCCCCTTAAAATTGGTAGCACAAAGTATCTGAGACCTACTTTGAGAGGATTGCCATCAGTGTCGAGAACTGAAGGATACAAGGCACTGGAAACTTCAGAAGGAAGGATAAGATTTGAAGAAAAATTTGATGAAAAGGCTAAGGGAAGAAACAGTACAATTGAAAGACATAGAATAAGGTTCTTCATTTCAAAGCTTTACTTTCAACTCTCTAAACTCTACTGTTTGATGGTGCAAGAGAGGCTCTATAGAGCTCCAATTTATAGATTCAAGAGGAGCAGGACTGTGTAGAATTACATATAATAAGTACAAAGTAAAGGAAAGTTGGAAAAGAAACAAGTTGACATATATCAATTGGCGTGGTAAATTTCGAAATATTTTCTATCTACATACCCATAGCTTATATTTATTTTGTCTTAAGATGATTAGTTTTGTATTTCGTTATTAGTCAGCTTGACTAACTTCATAGTGTAACAACTAAAAAAAAAATTGTTTTCAATAAAAGTTTGATATAAAAAATTTATAAGCAGAAGACAGTATCACTACTAAAAATCTGCTTAAAATCGTCCGAAAAACCGACCAACGCTGGTCGGAATATTATTTTAATAATTTAATTTTACCGACCAACGCTGGTCGGTGTTCTAAATTTCATAATTTTGTTTACCGATGAACAATAAATTAATCTATAATATTTTATATGCCGATCAACGTTGGTCGGATATATATATATATATATATATATATATATATATAAATNGACCAAGGTCGGTTGGTTTTCTAGGATTAATTTTGGCAGAAAATGCCTATTTTGGTAGCTACATCACCTGCCAAATAAAAATACCATACCAATACCCCCAATTCGCATCAAATAACCCCCAAATCACGACAAACAACTCCTAATTCATCACAAATCCAACAAAAATCCAATTAATACTTTAAAACTAACAAAGTTCAATTAAACATCACAATTCAAAACCAAGCCAAAACTAAGTAATTACAACAAGTTCAAATTTGTTCAATATAATTCAAAACTAGTTCTATTAGTCTAGTTCAAAGTATATCAAAGTATTGGTCAAGGGGTGTTTTCTATAACATCATCACCACTTGATGAACTTTTATCTACAAGACGATATAGAGAACAGTCTTGTGGAGGATTGGAAGAACGATCACGAGGAGGATGGGAGGAACGATCACGGGGAGGACGAAAGGAATGATCACATGGAGGTCGATCCTCTGGTGATGACTCACGAGACTGGGGCAATGAAAAAGCTTTAGTAGAAAGGAGAGTTCTGATTTGAGTTTGCATACCAAGGAATTGAACATATCTAAGCCTTTCTCTTTTCTTCGCCGCTTCTAGCTCGGATGTAAGCCTTGCCACTGTCTCCTGCATAGGCGAGAGGCTCTCCCTATTAAGTGCCTCTCCCTGTGAGGAACTCCCTATTCCTTGCATTTCACTCCTACAACGATGTAATTTTTTTCCAGGAAGCCCGTATACCTTCCCCTTTTTTGGACCGCCAACAACCTCTAACCATATTCTTTCAGCATCCTCGTCCAAAAATTGGGTTGGCTCGCCCGATTCACCAGCTGGATGACTACGAATGAAGTCCTCCAAATTACTTTGGTAGCGACCCTACGTTATTTTAAATTAAATTAGTATATAAAAAATCTTATAAAAGTAAATTAAAACACTTAAAGAAAAATTGAAAGATTATATATGTAGACTCTGCTCGGTTCCCGACCCACCTATGTGCATCCCCCTCTTTCTTCTTCTTTATAATATGTGTCTTCTTGAATAGCTCATCATGGTGCATTGGACGCCCATACTTCTTTTCGTAAAAATAAATCAATTTGATAAATAAATAGAATTGATATACTTAAAAAAGTAAAAATGTAATAATTTAAGCAATTACCAATCTTCTTCTTATTGTCCCGATACTGATAGCACCCCAGTGTGCAATGAGCATCCCTTCTCAGACGAGCGAGATTTCTTCCCTAGTTCGCTCTTCTATAAGAATATTTCGGTCTTCCATTTCCTTAATAAATCATCCAATAAATATTGCAGACACCAGTCAGGCCTCTTGTTCTTCTTTCTACCATCTGAGAAATGATCCGCCAATCTCTTGTGGGCTTTAAGATGAAGATTTGAAGCCACTTACTCGCTATGTCGGTCTTCCCATACACACTTACTCTGCATTTGAAATGTTAAATATTAGATGGAAATATCATAAATATAAATTATGAAACTGCTTAAAAGAACATTTATACCTTAAACTGGTTGAAAATTTGCTCCTTCAGTGAGTATGGGAAATCATTCCAAGTCGCATAGGGGCCATAATAAAGCTTTTTATCGTATTGGTGATTATCTTCGTAGTCTACTTATTCGGTCTGAACCTGAAATTTAACAATAAAAACACATGAGAATATTAGTAAAAATATTACAAAACAATAAACGCAAAAATAACAAATAACTCTTACCCGTTAACCTCAGGGAATATGATGATCATGCCATTGCGATCATAATGCACTACCTATGGAACATCATCCTCATCATGTGTATCAGAGTCATATGTAGACGGTGTAGATGGGGGCTCAGAGCTACGATCTCGCAGGTGATGCCCTGAAATGGATGGAGTCGATGATGAAGATGGCTGCGATCCCATGTGCTGCAACATAGATGGATGTGATCCTTGTGACTGTGATACATATGGCTATAACCCATATGGCTGTGATATGGATGGTTGCGATCCATGTGGCTATGATATGTAGGGATGGGATCCACGTGGATATGATGCATGTGGTTGCGATCCACGTGTTTGTGAGGTAGCTGGACTGTATATCGGACGTATAGTCCTATGGAATTGTGATGAAAGGCCCCGTGTCTAGATGAAGGTATAGGCCTCATGATGCTGTGGCAGATTAGTATAGCCGTGTGGTGGAGGATAAGACATAGGCATCTCTGAAGAGGGTGGAAATGAGAGAGTAGTATTATCCCCAGATTCTACCCTCCTCTCTTCCCTTCCTAGCCTTTTCTCAACCCCGAGAACTAGTAGGGTCATTTTTACCTTGACCCTTGTCTGCCATTTGCATAATATAATAAATATTTAGATTGAAACTTATAAGAAACTAGTTTTAACACGAGAGTGCTTTAAAAACCCAAAATTTTAATCGTCGTCGACGTATTGTTGCTCGTCCTAGAATTCCTTGTCCTCACTTGTTTCCATTTCATCAGTTGATTCTTCGTTCATATTTTCTATAATTATTACTTCATTTATATCAATTTCTTTCAATATGCGTTCAGGATGTTCCAAATCATTTTCTAACTGATCGTCCACTATTTGGTGATCACTGGAGATATCATTTTGATATGCAACATTTAACACATTTTCGACTTCCACCCTACCTATAGGCTTAGTTTTGATTACAGCCCACCAATTGGACTTATTCCGTCCCAATGGATAAGGAGCATAATACACTTGCCTAACGTTATGTATAATTGTGAAAGGATCATTGCGAGCATACTCCCTCGTATCATCGCGAGCATACTCCCTCGTACCCTTTGTTGGATTTGAGTCAAACAACTTGCATCTAAAGAGTATCACTATATTCTAGTTGTAATATTTCTTTGACCACACCTTAATAATCAATATCACTAACTTGGTTTCCATCTCCACTTTGAACCCATACCCCGCTGTTGTTGCTATTTTTATTCGTAGAGCAATCCTCTAATACCAACATGTCACGACCCGAAATTCCCACCCTCGGGACCGTGATGGCGCCTAACATTTCACTTGCTAGGCAAGACAACGTTTGAGATTCATTAAGACAATTCTTAGACATTTCAATAATTAACAGTAAATAAGCTATAACGAGTTAACATGAAAGCGGAAATTCATAACAGCCTCAATATATATTCTACTACCTGGATCTGGAGTCACAATTCACGAACTTCTAAGATTTCACAAGTAAATGTCTAAAAGAAATACAATTGTTTTCGAAATGAAAGAAACAGTAAAATGAAATGTCTAGAAGGGGACTCCAGGCTCTATGGACGCCGACAGATATACCTTGGGTCTCCTATAGGATGGATCCAGTAGCTAACATCATGATCAGCTCGGGCCAGTACCAAAATCTGCACAGGAAGTGCAGATTGCAGTATCAGTACAACCGACCCCATATACTGGTAAGTGTCGAGCCTAACCTTGGCGAAGTAATGACGAGGCTAAGACAAGACACCCACAAAGAAACCTGTGCAATTAAACAGTATATGTATGAAGATACGACAAATAAAAGTTAGACAAGCAGTAGCGGGAGGGGGGCATGCTGGGGGATCACAAGGTAAAGAATCACGGCAGTGATAAGAACTTGATCAACCAATATACCTTAAACAGATAAAAACAAGTAAACATAGTAAAGGAAAATGTACGGCATCACCCTTCGTGCTTTTACTCTCAACCTCACCATATGAAATAATAGAAACGGCACGACATCACCTTTCGTGCATTAACTCTCTCATAACGTGGCACGTCATCACCATTCATGCGTTAAAACTCCCAATATGGCACGACATCACCCTTAGTGCATTAACACTCGCATAACATGGCACGACATCACCCTTCGTTCATTAATACCCACATAACATGGCACAATATCACCATTCGTGTATTAACACTCTCCCTCACGAAAACAATGAACATTGATAGCAGGGAGATAGAAATATCAAGAACAAGTCTTACTTCACATTAGGTTCCACAATACAAACCTCAACTTTGAATCAATAATCAGTTTTTACCAAAGCCCGTAAACATGATAAAAACGATCAACATAACGATTAACTAGTCTAAACATGGATAATATGATCACGGAAAGCTACAATTACATGAATATGACTCACTCGCATGCTATGACTCGACAACAACGCATAGGTACTTGTCACCTCACCTATACGTTGTACTCAACATTCAAACATGATGCAAATAAGCAAATAAGAAAATAAGACCTAATCCCTCAAGCCAAGGTTAACCACGATACTTACCTCGCTCAGCTATCAAACTCAAAGATCGATCACAACATTTCCTTTCACATAAGCCTCCGGACCAATAGAATCTAGCAAATGACCAAACTCGAAATTCAGACCAAAACCCGATTACCCATTCACCCCCAAGCCCGGATATATAATTGGTTTTGGAATCCGACCTCAATTTGAGGTCTAATTCCCCAAATTTCAAAATCCCTAGTTTCTA